CTCGACGGCCCTTGAAGAAAGCGTTCATCGTTCATCACCGTTCTTCGAGATCAAGCCCAAAAGCCCTCGAAGATCCGTTCAAGCCCAAAAGCTCTCGAAGATCCGTTCGTCACTGTTCTTCGAGTTCAAGCCCAAAAGCCCTCGGAAATCCATTCATCACTGTTCTTCAAGATCAAGCCCAAAAGCCTTTGAAGATCCGTCAATCACCATTCTTCAAGATCAAGCCCAAAAGCCCTTGAAGATCCGTTCATCCTCGTTCATCCAAGATCAAGCCTCGACGGCCCTTGGATCAATCGCACATCCCACAAATCAACACCTTACGGAGATCGAATCAGAGGATCAAAATAGAGAGAGATTGTAACCCAAAATCATCAAATACAAATATTTGTTTGTGCACGTCGTTGTTCTTGTCTCTTTCGTTTCAGGAATTTTCCGTGTTCACACTTCTATTTCACAAAATTTGTTTCATATTTTTTTTAATTCTATTTTTTTCCTATAACTTCCTAAGCCATTATACAACATTAAATTAAATAAAACAACATTAAATAATATTAACCAACATAAAAATTATACAACATAAAAAAAACATTTAACAACATGAAACTTAAACAACATTTAAGTTGTAGTTTTTAAATAATAAATTATGTTTGGCCCTATGACCCTTTGGCCCTCGGTTGGAGACGGTTTTTTGTGACAGGGCTAAAACGAGCCATGTGGCCCTTTTGCCATCGGTTGGAAATGGAAGCAAATATGGTCATGTACTGTTCATTAAAATATTAATATCTTGGAGGGCCAGAGGGCTAAAACGAGCCATCTGTTGGAGATGGCCTAAGGTCCCTTAGGGCTATCCACTATTTAATTCACCTAATGAACAGTAACTACCTTTAATAAATAGTAATTGTTTTTTGCATCTCCACCCCTACATTGAATAGCCTTGGCAATTGGCAATAAAATATTAATATTCTTTTCTCCCCCAATCCATCAAACATCCCCATCACCCTCCCTTTCCTTTTTTCCCCTAATTTGACCGGTTCTTCCTCTCTCTCTCTTCCTCATCTCTCTCTTTCTTTCTCTCTCTCTCTCTCTCTCTCTCTCTCTCTCTCTCTCTCTCCCTCTCTCTTCTTTCCATCTCTCTTTCCCCTTTTCCCCTTTTCCCCTTATTCCACCATCATCATCTCTCATCTTCTATGCTTTCATTCCCTCCCTCCTCGGTTTCTCCTTCTTCCCCAATCTTCGTCTTCGTCTTCCTCTTCCACTTCCCTTTTCTCTACGTCTCTCCGGCGAAGATATCACGCATAGCGGCAATTGCTCGTCGGGACTAGAATTTCTCCCCAATTTCTTGCGACCCATTCTAAGTCCCAGCCATGATTCCCAAATAGTGAGTTTAATCCGATGATTCTTTTTTTTTTAATTTCTTATTTGATTTATTTGCTGTCAATCAAATTTGATCCTATATGCGATGGTTTTAGAATCGTAGTTTTATTGGAAAATTTTAGTTTAATTTAATTTTTTGAAATTGATTTTGCATAGTTGAAATTTTTTCGTTCGAAATGAGGGTTTGGGTGTGTAGATCTAGGTCAAATGAGGGGAAGGAGGACAGGGAGATGTCGAGGTTGGCTCATGCATCGATGCCGCACATCAGCCACACGTCACACAGCCTTCAGGCTCTCAGGCTGTCGATTCCCGCCTGGCCTCTCACTAGGGCCTGCTTGGGCTCACTCGCCAACACATGCTGGGCTTCATCACTCGGGCTCTTTGGCCCTGTTCCTGCGCCTGTCCCTCGGGCTGGAGCACACGATGGAAGTGCTCTTAGGGAAGGTCCGTCATTTACTCTGCAAACCCAGCAGTTGCTAATAATAAATGGAATCTAACTATTTCACGTTCACTAACCAAAGCACGTCAAGAATCAAAACTCATAAGGGATGTGACAAACTGACAAACACAAAGCACCACGATCGTACGTCCAATACCAAGGTCCAAGAAACCCTAAAAGAAAAAGAAATGGAAGCTGGAAATTTCAAAACCAATGATTTGGCAGTGCAAAGGAAATTAGGGGGAGAAGGGTGTTGGGTGCGCTTATAATGTCATATTTTAGGAAGTGAAGGCATATTATTATTATTATTATCATGGATTATGGTTGAACGCCGAATTGCAAGAAAAGCAAAAATAATATTAATAGTATGGGAGCAGATGTATTAGATTTGCGAAACCACATGGGTTGGGGTCCACAAGAAGGGAGAGAGGGAATGTGGGGGCAATGTAAAGCCATCTCCAACCGAGGGCTGGCCAGATGACTCGTTTTAGCCTCTGGCCCTCCAAGATATTAATATTTTAATGAATAGTACATGACCATATTTGCCTCCGTTTCCAACCGAGGGCCAAAGGGCTAGAGGGCTCGTTTTAGCCCTGTCACAAAAAATCGTCTCCAACCGAGGGCCAAAGGGCCATAGCGCCAAACATAATTTATTATTTAAAAACTACAACTTAAATGTTGTTTAAGTTTCATGTTGTTAAATGTTTTTTTTATGTTGTATAATTTTTATGTTGGTTAAGGTTATTTAATGTTGTTTCATGTTACTTAATTTAATTTAATGTTGTATAATGGCTTATGAAGTTATAGGGAAAAATAGAATTAAAAAAAATATGAAACAAATTTTGTCAAATAGAAGTTATAGGAAGAAAAATAGAATTTAAAATAAAATGAAACAAATTTTGTGAAATAGAAGTTATAGGAAAAATGGAATTTTAAAAAAAATATGAAACAAATTTTGTAAAATAAAAGTTATAGGAAAAAAATAGAATTAAAAAAAATGAAAAGTAGAAGTTATAGGAAAAATTTTGTAAATAAAAAATAATAATAAAACAGTAAAAAAAAAAATTCAAAGCATTCCTATCGGTTATAACCTACAAGAATACATTCATATTATTTAGTATAAATGTATTATTATCGGTTATAATTGACAGTAATGCATTTATATTAAGTTATATGAACTTATTCCTGTCGGTTATAACCGATAAGATTTCCATTTTTTCTGGCCAGCCAGCCCTTTAGTCTAGCTCTCGGTTTGAGACGGTTTTCGAGCTATTTTCAGCCCTCTAGCCCTTTGGACCCTTCGGTTGGAGATGGCCTAAGGGACCCCATTGGATCTTTAACATTGTGGTTTAATGATCTTAGTAATCTCTCTGATCAAATTTAAAGGCTTCTTTTTCTGCTTTTGGTATGCAGAATAAGTACGATATGATTAATTCCATACACAATACACAACACCTTTAAGTATTAGTATAGAGATTGACATAGAAAATGTCATTCATATCCTTATTCGTTCTTCATGATCCCATGTGTGCATCGTGATACAAAATGCAAATGTTGAGAGAGAGAGAGAGAACGATAATGCAAATGTTGAGAGAAGAGATACGTCTATCAACCATGACCACCATAGTATGGCGTATATGCTTGTCTTAATAGCAAAATGTATAACATTTGCCTTGACCAATTTAGGTGTTTCTAACCCAATTCATTTGTTCATTTAGCATTGTTTATTATTGTTCGCACGCATTGATTTGGTATATAATTGCCTAAATGATTTGTTATTTTTGTATGTAATTAATATAGCAATTAGATTCTAATTTTTCAACATACTATTCTTCTTCTTTTTTATTAGGAAGTGATTCTATATATTTTTTTTCGTCTGTGTAAATATTTGATTTTTAGATTGAATAAAGTAAAAAAAAATCAAGAGAACAAATAAACAAAAGTGTGGAAGAAAAGGGTAGGAAAATCAATTTTCCTTTTTATTAAATTAAAACACAGTTTCTATTGCATTCCAAGTTTAGTTAGGAATGTGAGTTTTGAAAAATCCTATTGGTATTCTATATTATATTTTAGATACTTTCCTATTTCAATTAATATGTATTAATTGAAAGCCAAGGATTCTCCATTCCTTACTACTATATATAAAAGTACAATGAATACACACCTCAGAATTCACCAATTCCTCTATTTTGTCAGCTGACGTTGCCCCTTTCTCCCTTCTATAATTCTTCAGTTAACTATTCCTACAACATGTTATCAACACATTTTTGCTAACACTAAGGAACTGAAGGTTTGTGGAGGAGGTTTGTTCAAGGAATTGGTATGCGTAAATTATCCGATTTGAAATGCTTGTAGTTCTCATTTGGAAGTTTTGTCAAGCTCAAGGGATTATTCAAAATTATACTCACTTGATCTTATGTACTCTTTTTATCCACGATTAAGAGTATTTTTCCCTTTGGGTTTTGCTACTTGACTAAATTTAAAAAAGGCACCCATCCTAAGCTAGTCATACCCTTGTATGCATCCTACTTGCATCTTGAAGGCCTTTAGTTTTGATTTGATGCAAGTTCTTATTTTTCTCCTAAAACCATGACTTATCCTACATTGGATTTTACTATAGAGGTTTTATGAGTTCTATTACTTATGCATTCTTGCGTTTAATGTGAGACTCGCATTCGCTCATTGTACCAACGACTTCATCAACTAACTTCGTCACTAAAGACTTGATGCTACATTTTGTTTGAGTATTCACACACTCAAGAGAAGTGTTGCAATCCTAATTTAGTTAGGAATATGATTGTATAAATCCTACTTGGATTCTATAGTATCTTTTAGATAGTGTTCTATTTCAAATGTATTACTTGAAAGACAATGATTTTTCCTTCCTTACTATTACAAATAAAGGCACAGTAAGGTATATACACGTCATAATTCACCAACTTCTCTCTTCTCTCTACTACTACCGTCTCTCTCTAATTCTTCAGTTAAATAGGTTTACAACAATTTTAAGTTTTTTTATTTATTACATTCTCAGATACTCAATTTTCATTCTCTATGTATTATAGAAAAATAAAAAGAGTATTTTTTTTTTGTTGCAATATCAGACTTCTGTTAGTTTTTATGTTAATTTGTCTGTCAAATGCTGATGTGGCTTGAGACGGGGCCCACTCCCTAGCCTAACTGGATTAAAAAATTAGTTAAATATTAAAAAATAAAAAAATAAATCATTTAAATATTTGTCTAAAAAAATATGGACCTACCCCTACAAACCCATCACCGCCACCCTTCTTCCCTAGTCCACCCGTCTCCCTCAACCTTCCTTCACTCACCACCAAAACCAGAGCCCCTCTTCCACAGTCGCCCTCACCCGCCAATCACCACCCTCTTTCGTTGGACCACCCAGCTCGAATGGAGTCTCAGCGCACCACCCAGCTCGAACTCCTCTTTTACCTCCAATCCCAAAACGTCCCAGCCTCCTCTCCTGGACCCCAAACCCAACCTCAGAAACCCGATCGAACCCGCTTTCCCTTCGACCCCAGAACCTCAACAAAGCCACCTCTGTCGATTTCAAGATCTCCAAAGCCTTGCAGCAACGATCAGTCCCTAGTGTCGTCACCCAAGATGATGCTAGGTCTGAATTCAAATCTAAACCCAAATCCGACAAACAGGTATGTTTCTTGTTGATTTTACTGAAAATTTTCATTCAATCAGTTCGATTTATATAAAATTTATTTAAATTAAGCGTTGTTGGTGTTGGTAATTTAGGAACATTAGGAAGATTGTTGCCCAAGATGTCCCCAGTGACATTGCCCAAGATGATGCTCGCTTGATTGTCCGTGTAAAGACTGACGAACACGCCACCGTGTGTTCGAAACATAAGGGAAAGAGAAAGATGGATGCATGGGGATTTGCTGGTGGCGGTGGCAGAGGTGTCAAAGGGGCGTAGCAACATAGCACACCCAGTTTGCGAAATTCTGGGATTTGATTTGTTTGAGTAAATTAACCAAATTGGGGACTGAAATGGTAAAATAATAAGTAGTGAATAATTTGGGCTGAAGAGCAGCAGGGAGAGAGGGTGGTGATTGGTGGGTGAGGGCAGCGGTATGGGAGGGAGTTCTGGTTTTGGTGGTGAAGGAAGAAAGGTTGGGCAGAGACCTGTGGAGTTGGGAAAAAGGTTGAGGGTGATGAGTTTGTAGGGATGGGTTCCATATTTTTTTATAAAATATTTAAACGATTTATTTTAATTTTTTCATATTTAATAAATTTTTAATTCAGTTGGGTTAGGGGATGGGTTCTGCCTTAAGCCATGTCAGCATTTAACATATAAATTAATAAAAAAATTAACAGATGTCAGATATTGCAACAAATTCGTAAGATAATGTATGACATTATAATTTTTAAAAGATGAAATATGAAATTGTGGGTTGATGTATAGCTTTAATAGTTTTGTTTCATTTACCATAACTTTTATGTGTCTTCTTTCCCTCACAAGAAATACTATATTGTAAATATGTAGGGTCCAATTTTGCCTGCGTGTGTACTTGGGATGAGTAGGCAAAATATTTTATTATAAATGGATATGTGGGTCCAGTTTTGCATACGCATGTAGAAGTAAACAATGTTGCCTACTTTGGAGGAGTGGACAGAGTTTACATGGTCAATTGACTACTCATTTGTGTATCTGGATTATGTGGCTTGCCAAAAGAAATTTAACTATTCATTTGCTAACTCCATTAGAGATGAGTATCTGGATTTTGATATTGACATCGACACTTTAAGAAATGAGATGTGACTAAAAGATGAAACCTTCCACCTATTATGAGATGACGAGTCTGCGAATAACATGCCTCTTGCGAATACTTTGCCGTTTTCATTTATCTATATTTTTGCATCTGGCCAAATTCATGCCTTTTTTCGCTTCTTCTGAAAAATGCATTTTACACACTATTTCTTACCTTATGGATACTTTTTTTTGTTTGTTTTGTAATCATTAAGATTAAACAAATAAGATAAACTCAACAAGTTAAATTAACATAGAATATGTAAAAAGTAAAAACTAGTGTGTTAAAATCACTACTCTTTTTCTTTTCACATAACAACATGTTGAATGGTGATTTTCATATCGGACAAACGGTCTTCACACTATAGGACAAGATCATGGTCATGCATGGATAGTTGAAATTAATTTATCTAAGTCCAAAAAAACGATCATCTTTTTGTATAAGAAAGATATCGAGATACATAGAAATTTTTTTAATGCCAATATTGACATTAGAAAATAGAGGTAATATTGTCAATAAAAGGGGATAAATTAGTGCATGGTATTTGGAATTGGTTGTATACCATTTAGTGAACTAACAATTTATACTCCAAAGAATTTGTAGTTTGATTTAGGGGTGGGCACGGGCCGGGCCCAAAATTGAAGGAACCGGATTGACCCTTGTAAATAACACGAGGTAGGGCGGGTTTTGGATTTTTCAAAATAAGATCCGGACCTAACCCAGCCCTTTTGAAACGGGCCGGTTCCTACGGATCCTCACCTTCTGGTCCCTCCCTCCTTTCTACAACTCTCCCTCCTCCATCGCCTACCTCCTCAACTCCCTCCCCACCCAAATCGCCTCCGCCAACAACGTGTCCGATGTCGACCCCATCCCCACCAGCATTCCGATCATCGTCCTCGTCAACTGCTCCTTTTCCAACAATAATTACAAAGGTGAGTTCTGGCACCTCCACCAAAATTATAGAAGCCACATTTTTTGGGTCAGCTGGACGACTCAAACGGGGAGATTCGGTTGAAGACCATCTTCATCTCGGAGAAGGAGTGCCAGAAGCTAGATCTGCGATTCAAAATTTCACAACTTTTCACAAATTTTGTAAATCAAAATTAAGAAATTGACGAAATTGGAAGAAATGAGGGAAATGAGTTACCTTGGTGTCGAGATCGGAGGAAGAGACGGAGTAGTTGGTGGGGGAGGAGGGCGGCGGCAGCATATCATTTCTCGATGGGGTGTGGGTGTGGTGTGTCTGTGCTCCGGGAAGGAGAGTTGCAGAGATGGGGGAAGAAGAAACAAAGAAGAGGAATAAGGGAGAAGGTTCGAGAGATTGGGGGAGGGGGAAACATTAGGAAGTGGGGTGTGTGTGTGTGTGGAGTGTTCAAGAGTAAGACTCATAACTATCACGGGGAACAAAAGGAAGTAGGCCTGGGAGCCAGTACCCAACATGGGGGTATTTTTGCAAACATGTTGTCCGGGTACCTATTTTTCTATACTTTTGGAACTGGCCCGAACCTAAAATCTCAAAGCCCCTCATTGCCCCGTTTCTCTTTTTTTAAATTAGGAACTGGCCTGTACCTGCCCCTACCCCCCGGTTCCTGTACCCGTTTACCTACCCTTAGTTTGAGTAGTTAAAAACGTTTGCTTGAAAACGAAGGTTATGTATGAGGATTTGTTGTAAAAATGATTAGTTATCCTGCACATGCTATGCAGTAGAGAAAAATATGGAAGAATTTGTTTCTTAAATTGATTTTTCAAAAATCTGTATAAATAATATAATATTTTATCATTTTAATGGAATTTTTTTAGGGTAAATTACACTTTCATACCTCAGGTTTGAGGTTTATTTCAATTCCTTACAACATCTTTAAAACATTTCACTTTCATACCTTAAGTACTATTTTATTTCAAAATAATACCTCCGTTACATTTTCCATCCATTGATCCGTTAAATGCTGACGTGGCTGCCACATATATGCCATGTGGCTGCAAAATGTTTGCCATGTGGCAAATAAAATAATTTTTAATTTTTAAAAAAAAACCTGAATTTTTTCAAAAAAAATAAAAAAATGAAACCCACATCTGCAAGAAGAAGAAGAAGAAGAAGAAGAAGAAGAAGAAGGAGGAGGACGGGAAAAGGGTCGCCAGGCGGGGGTAGCGGGGACGGGAAAAGGGTCGCCGGGCGGGGGAGGGGGGACCGGGGCAGGAGAAGGGTCGTCAGGAGGGGGGACTGGAGGAGGGTCTCTAGGTGGGCGAAGAGGGGTGGGGGAAGGGGGCTTCTTCTTCCTGCATATGTGGGTCGTTGGGGGGGGACAATTTTTTCTTTCTTTCTTCCTCCCTCTTCTTCTTCTTCTTCTTCTTCTTCCTGCATATGTGGTTCACTTGGGGGGGGGGTGGGACAATTTTTTTTTTTTTCTTTCATCTTCCCTCTTCTTCTTCTTCTTCTTCTTCCTGCATATGTGGGTCGCTGGGGGGGGTGGACAATTTTTTTATTTTTTTTATTCTTCTTCTTCTTCCTGCATATGTGGGTCGCTGTGGGTCGCTGGGGGGGTGGACAATTTTTTTTTTTTTATTCTTCTTCTTCTTCTTGCATATGTGGGTCACTAGGGGGGACAATTTTTTTTTCTTTCTTTCTCCCTCTCCTTCTTCTTCTTCCTCCTCCTACATATGTGGGTCCCTAGGGGGGGAGAGACAATTTTTTTTCTTCTTCTTTCTTCCTCCCTCTTCTTATTCTTCTTCTTCTTCTTCTTCTTCTTCCTGCATATGTAGGTCGCTGTTCTTCTTCTTTTTCCTGCATATGTGGGTCGCTTGGGGGGGGAGACAATTTTTTCGTTCTTCTTCTTCTTCTTCTTCTTCTTCTTCTTGCAGATGTGGGTTTCAAATTTTTTTTTTGTTGAGAAAATTCAAGTTTTGAAAAAAAAAATTAAAAAATATTTTATTTGTCACATGGCAGACATTTGGCAGCCATATGACATATATGTGGCAGCTACGTTAGCATTTAACAGATTAATGAATGGAAAATGTAACGGAGGTATTATTTTGAAATAAAATAGTACTTAAGGTATGAAAGTGAAATGTTTTAAAGATGTTGTAAGGAATTGAAATAGACCCCAAACCTGAGGTATGAAAGTGTAATTTACCCTTTTTTTATTGTGAATCATAGCAAAAATGGTTTTTTTGCTGTGATGATGTAAGTGATTTGTATTATCCAAATAGATCATATACTTGGGGTGTAAGTGAGATTGTAAATGATTTCATTTTTTTAATTTATTATTTATTAAGGGAAGAGTGGAGGATCCGAAACTATTACATAATTTAGGAGAGTGAGGAGTTTCGAACTCAAAACGCATGGGTGAGTGAAAAGCGAGCATCTCCAATGGAGATCTCAAAAGAGAAATGTCAAATGTTAATTTGATGGCTGACGTGACAATGTCAGATTTTTCTTTTTCCAACTATTATGTTTTTTTGTTATAAATGATATTTGTAGGACCCATTTTAAAAAGAAATCAATTAAAATAAAATTTCAAGATTTATAATTGGTGTATTAATAGGATTCATACAATAAAATAATTAAAAATTATTTGACATCACATTTTCTCATATGTCAAATTTGATATATGAAAACTCATCCACATAGGATTAACATATCGGTTGGAACTTGCTCCTACCTTTAAATTTAATTACATGACATTCCACTTAGAATTTGACATCTCCTTTGGAAATAGTCTTATCCACTTGGATATTGTACCAAACATGTCACTACAAGTTAGGCTAATCATTAATAACATGCTTTTAGGTCAACATACCATGATCTCACCGGTCAATGTGTTTTGGAGGGTGTAAGAGCAACAACCCACCCTAATGAGGTTGCACTAAACTCGCTTGTCCCACCAACATTTATGCCCACTGCAACATGAAGAACCCATGCATCATGTGGAAGCAAATTCCCACCATCTTCTCCTTTGACGAAATGCACCTACAAAATAATAACACCTAAGAGTAAGGTCAAAAGCCTCATGCGCCTATGATGAATTGGGGGGAGGGGGGAAGGGGGGCTTTGGCCAAAAAATCTCCAATGCCAAAGTTAGAATTCTGAAAAGAATGTGTTTAGGAGTTTGTAGGTAGGAAATGGCTTAGATTTTTAGTAGGATAATAGGGCTATTTATAGGGGAGTGGTTGGCCTTTAGGGTGAGGAGTGGCCAGCTGTATATGGTGATAATTGAAGAATAATTGCAATATATTATGTGAAATAATATCTTGCAATTAACATGGTAATTAATCCCAAATTAAATAGGATTTTGAGAGTTACCTTTTGAATAAGAATTTGATGAAGACTGATTAGAGAGATTTAAATAAATACCATTTTGATCACCCTTGACTCTTCCTGATTGAGCGTGGGAATCCCAGTGTGCATTGCGGGTAGCTTTATCCTTCTTACCCAAAAGTCCATGCGTCACCTCTATAATTTTCTTGATTATTTTTTGCTCCACAAATGCCCCCACACCTGCTGAGCTGCTCGCAAGAGAGGGGAGCAG